ATGGCATTGGAGACATTGGGGACATTGGAGGCATCGGGGACATTGGGGACATTTGAGGACATTTGGTGACATTGGGGACATTTGAGGACATTGGACACATTGGGGACACTGAGGACATTGGGGACATTGAGGACATCAAGGACTTTAGGGACACAGAGGACATTGGGAGGTACTGGGACACTGGGGAAGTTTGGGGACATTTGGGGAAAATTTGGGGACAATTTGGTGATTTTGGGACCATTTAGGGCACGTTTGGGACCATTTGGGGCCATATTTGGGGCCATTTTGGGACAATTTCAAGGCCAGTTTTGGGCCATTTTGGGACACATTTGGGGGACACATTTGGGGACACATTTGAGGCCATTTTGGCTTATTTTGGGGCCATTTTGGGTACCCTGGCAGCCATTTTGGAGCCCACTAGCGGCCATTTTGTGGAGGACATTTTGCTCACCTCAGGACATTGGCGGCCATCTTGGGCCACATTTGGGGCCACATTTGGGACCATTTTGGGACAATTTCAAGGCCAGTTTGGGGCCATTTTGGGGACACATTGGGGGACACATTTGAGGCCATTTTGGGGACACATTTGAGGCCATTTTGGCCCATTTTGGGTACCCTGGCAGCCATTTTGGAGCCCACTAGCGGCCATTTTGTGGAGGACATTTTGCTTACCTCAGGACATTGGCGGCCATCTTGGGGCCATTTTGAGCCCGATTTTCGCCATTTTGGGGCCATTTGGTGACACAAAGCCACCTCCACGATGTCCCCAACTGTCCCCTCAGCGCCACCGCAGCTGCGCATCGTCCCCGAGCGCTCGGGCCCCGCGCTGGCCCTGGTGTGCCACGCCTGGGGCTTCTCCCCCGCCGAGATCACCCTGAGGTGGCTCCGCAACGGGGCCATCGTTGGGGACACCGTTGGGGACCCATTTTGAGGCACATTTGGGGCACAATTTGGGTCCATTTTGGGGAACATTTTGGGACAATTTGGGGCAGATTTTGGCGCCATTTTGGGGAACATTGGCGGCCATTTTGGGCCACATTTGGGGCCACATTTGGGACCATTTCAAGGCCAGTTTGGGGCCATTTTGGGACACATTTGGGGACATATTGGGGACACATTTGAGGCCATTTTGGCTTATTTTGGGGCCATTTTGGGTACCCTGGCAGCCATTTTGGAGCCCATTAGCGGCCATTTTGTGGAGGACATTTTGATCACCTCAGGACATTGGCGGCCATTTTGAGCCCGATTTTCGCCAATTTGGCACCATTTTGAGCCCATTTTTCACCATTTTGGTGCCATTTGGTGACACAAAGCCACCTCCACGATGTCCCCAAATGTCCCCTCAGCGCCACCGCAGCTGCGCATCGTCCCCGAGCGCTCGGGCCCCGCGCTGGCCCTGGTGTGCCACGCCTGGGGCTTCTCCCCCGCCGAGATCACCCTGAGGTGGTTCCGCAACGGGGCCATCGTTGGGGACACCGTTGGGGACCCATTTTGAGGCACATTTGGGGCACAATTTGGGTCCATTTTGGGGGACATTTTGGGACTATTTGGGGCAGATTTTGGCGCCATTTTGGGCCACATTGGCGGCCATTTTGGGCCACATTTGGGGCCACATTTGGGACCATTTCAAGGCCAGTTTGGGGCCATTTTGGGACACATTTGGGGACATATTGGGGACACATTTGAGGCCATTTTGGGGACACATTTGAGGCCATTTTGGGGACACATTTGAGGCCATTTTGGGGACACGTTTGAGGCCATTTTGGCCCATTTTGGGTACCCTGGCAGCCATTTTGGAGCCCATTAGCGGCCATTTTGTGGAGGACATTTTGCTCACCTCAGGACATTGGCGGCCATCTTGGGCCACATTTGGGGCCATTTTGGGACAATTTCAAGGCCAGTTTGGGGCCATTTTGGGGACACATTGGGGGACACATTTGAGGCCATTTTGGGGACACATTTGAGGCCATTTTGGGGACACGTTTGAGGCCATTTTGGCCCATTTTGGGTACCCTGGCAGCCATTTTGGAGCCCACTAGCGGCCATTTTGTGGAGGACATTTTGCTCACCTCAGGACATTGGTGGCCATCTTGGGGCCATTTTGAGCCCGATTTTCGCCATTTTGGGGCCATTTGGTGACACAAAGCCACCTCCACGATGTCCCCAACTGTCCCCTCAGCGCCACCGCAGCTGCGCATCGTCCCCGAGCGCTCGGGCCCCGCGCTGGCCCTGGTGTGCCACGCCTGGGGCTTCTCCCCCGCCGACATCACCCTGAGGTGGTTCCGCAACGGGGCCATCGTTGGGGACACCGTTGGGGACACCGTCGGGGACACCGTCGGGGACACCGTGGGGGACACTTCAGGACAAAGCCGCGTGCTCCCGGTGGGGGACGGAACGTTCCGGACGCAGGCGACGATCCAGGTGCCACCGGGGACATCTGGGGACACTTTGGAGTGCGTGGCGCTGCACCCCACCCTGGAGGAGCCCCTCAGAGTCACGTGGGGTGAGGACATTTTGGGGGATTTTGGGCGAATTTCGGGGGATTTGACGGAATTTTTGGGGATTTTTTTGGGATTTTTTGGGAATTTTTTGAGGATTTATTTAGATTTTTATTGGATTTTTGAGTGTTTTTTAAAGATTTTTTTACAATTTTGGGGGGATTTTTTGGTTTTTTTT